CAGACGGAATCAGACTCGGGGACTATCTGTGTGGGCACTTCCTCCACCTCCCAGAATTTGGTAAGAAGATGATCGAACGAGTCGTCGAGTCCGCAGGTAACTCGAGTGGAGAAGGCGGACACATTGCGGGGGGCCGCTGGAGATATGGGGCCTGTCAACACCCATCTAAAAATGGTTTCCTGGGCGAGCAGTGAACCGCAAATGTTAGCCCTGGCGTTGCCTAGGAGGATGGACGGAAGAATGTCGGCTCCTATCAAGACATCGATTTGGGAGCTCTCAAAGAACTTGGGATCCGCAAGGGGGATGTTAGGAATTCCTTTAAGAAGATCTCGAGGAACTGGATACGAAGGCAGATTCCCGGCCAGCTGCGGAAGAACGTAAGCTGAAGTTTCTAAATGTAGAAGGCGATCGAATAGAAAAATGACAGAGTTTCGTGGACTGAGCGGCAACGGGTTGATTAAGACCAGAGACTTGGGCCTGGATAGTCTTGAATGGAAGTTTGACGAGGTTGAAAAGTCTCTCCGTAATAAAGGTTGCCTCGGAACCAGAGTCAATCAGGGCTCGCGCCTGGAAATTGCACCCTAAATGACAAATGTTAATGAGGGCTGTGCCCAGTAGGACGGCTCTTGAGCCGGAAGCGAAGCACAGAGTGATACTCTGTGGGGCTCGTGCCTCTTGTAGTAGGCGCGGGTTGAGACCTGGATGGCGCAGACGGACTTGGAGCGGCCGCGAATGGATTACCGCGATGCAGGAGGGTGTGATGACGGCTGTGGCACGTCAAGCAGCTATGGGCGCTAGTGCAATCCCGTTGCAGGTGCCCTGTGCAAAACAGTTCAGGCAAAGCTGCTTTTTCTTAATGTAGTCGGAGCGACCATTTACATCCATCTCAAGAAAGAGCGGACATAAGCGAACAGGATGATTCTCTCTGGAGCAGAGATTGCACCCTCTTGGGGCTGGAGTCACTCTGGCCTCGTAGGAATTAAGCCCACGCGCTGGGGCGCTCGCAGTTGTCGACCTTGGCGGAAACTGATGTCATCGATAGCCTCCAGAGTGCGATGACGCTCTGTCAAGAACGAGTCTAACTCATTCCATGTTGGAATCTCAGCTTTGTTGTGAATGGATTGCTCCCACATCGAAAGCGTGATTTTGGGAAGCTTTAAAGAAACCATGTACACCAGGAGACAATCCCAAGTCTCGACTTGAATAGAGGACATCTCTAAGGCTGTCAGGCAACTTTGGATTGTGCCTTGCAGCTCTTTCAGAGCGGCTGTTGAAGAGGATTTTCAACTGGCTATTGACTAATAACCGCCGATTTTCGAAGCGGTCGGTGAGGCTTCGCCACGCGGAGATAAACCCTTCGTTGGTCAGCGGGGCTTTGGAAACGTGCGCATCGTTACTTGTTTTGGACAATAGTTGGAACAACTTCTCTACCGGTGTAAGACGCGAGTTGTGGATATACATCCATCGCGGTAAAAAGATCTCTGAAGGTGGGCCAACGCAGGTAATCACCAAACGTCCGCGGAGACGCGGATTGGGACCTGCCCAAACGGATAGATGGGATCGACATCGGTTTCTTGTCGTCTCCCGTGGGCATTCTCGGACTCGAACTCTGCGGATCAGCTCTTGTCGACTGACCTGAGCAAGGGGCGTTTCGTTCAAAACGTGATGATATGAGGATGAGATGGTCGTCGCTGCAAATGAACGCGAGCAAAAGAAAAAACCACAGAGAACGGTCACACTGTTAATTTGTGCGGAGTAGAAAGCACAGTGCTATAAAAAACGAGAAGAATCGGTAGAAAATATTTGGAAATCGATGAAACTGTATTGATTATATATCTTGTTTATTTATTTGTATATCTTGTTACTCCCTTTGTTGACTTCTGTTTTTTTTGATTATTTTAATGTTTTACCTTAGTTATTGTTGGCAAATAATTTAATTGTATTTAGTTATTTATTTATTTTTTTTTTTTGGGTTTGAAAAATAAAAATAAAAAAAAATTAATTAACACATTAAATTAATTACTTTGCCGGAAATAATTAAATAATATTTATAATTAAATAGTAGTTACAATTATGAATTAATAATGTTTATAATTAAATAATAATTATAATTATAAATACTTTTTTTTGAGCGGAGCCGGAACGGTGGAATTAAAACCTTGGCTTTGGTTCGGGAGAAATGTTCACTGGTTGGCTTTGGTTCGTGAGAAATGTTCACTGGGTTATGCCGTCGGCAGCGCAGTGCATGCGTGAGGGACCCGGGAGAAAGAGAGAACAACAATAATAACACAGCCGTTGGCGCGGTTTTAGGTTTAAGTTTATTCTCATGTATGCAGCCGAATAAAACACACTACGACGCCCCCGACTTCATAATTTTCGTCTTCCTTTGCGTTTGCGCCGTGGGAATTTTTTGTGCCTTCAAATCTTTTTGTGGAAGGATCGCCCCCCTACAACAGTTGTTTAAAATTTGTGGAGGCGGTTCTTGGATATGTGGATTACTTTTTCTTTTCTGTGAATACAGTTTTATAATACGATCAAAGCAAGAACAATGGCGCAAATTAACGTAATCATTCTGTGAGGTTTGTAAGTGCTTTCTATTAATACCCGTTACTCGTAGAGTAAAAGGGTATATTGTATTCGTGCAAAAGTATGTAACAGCTAGAAGGAAGCGTTTCCGACCCTATAAAGTATATATATTCTTGATCAGGGTCACTAGCCGAGTCGATCTAGCCATGTCCGTCTGTCCGTCTGTGTGTCCGTCTGTCTGTCGTATGAACGCTGAGATCTCGGAAACTATAAAAGCTAGAAGATTGGCACTTTGCATGCAGATTCTAGGAGTTCCTACGCAGCGCAAGTTTGTTTCAAAAAGGTGCCACGCCCCCTTTAACGCCCACAATCGCTTATATACGATTTTAAAAATTTAAATATTTTGGAAAAGTAAAAATGCAGTTTTATTGTGTTTATCAATATCTATCGAAATGTAGAAAATTTTTAGAAATTTTTAAAATCGGACCATTTGTTAAAAAGTTATGCGTGATCAAAGTTTCTATCTCCATCTCCCTCGCACTCCCTTTACCTTAGTAACGGGTATCTGATAGTCGGGGCACCCGACTATAGCGTTCTCTCTTGTTTTGAATTGAATTCGCTAGCATATTGGAAATGGTTGTTAAGTTATTTATTCTGTCTTGAAGCTGATTATTGATAATAATTTGGTCGTTGTTATTTTTAATTAAATTATTGAGTTTACTTTCTATCATAACTAAATCTTCGTGATCTGGGTTACCTGCGATATATTTCCAAGCTGGGCCAATCATATTTATTGACCTAGCTTGAGGGCTTTTTGTTGTTAGGGTAAGTGTGCTTAGAGCAGAAAGTAATTGAATTACTCTTCCTGCTTCTGTTAAAATAGTCGTATTAATATTTTCTTTTTTTAACGTCGGGATAATTTAGAGCCTAGTCTGGTGTTTTGTTTTACAAATATTTCTTGTACTGGTAGATTTGATTTTATAGGTTTCCTTTCTTTATTGTGGTTTTCTAAATCTATCAATTGTTTTTGTTTAAGGGGACCCCCAATTCTCGATTCAAAATTTTGACGATATATTATTTTTTAGGCTTGTTACTTTACATCCATTTAGTTGAAGTCTTAAAAAATAAAAAAAATAAAAATAAAAATGTAACATAATTTTTTTCTTTTTTTGTTGTTGTTGTTTTTTGTCATTGAACAAACCCCCTTCTTTTCGTCGGCGTAGTGGATTTAAGCTCACTGGAACATCTGAAACCAAAAATTGCAACGGGATTAGGAAGAGTATATGTATGGCTATATGATGAACTAGGGTTTTTAAATTCTGGCAAAAATTACCAAAATGGAGAACCTTTGAACATTTGTTTTTTTATCGTTCAATCTGTCCGTAAACTGAGATTTGTAGGGAGGAGCTTTAAAAATGGTTATATTTTACTGATCTCTCATCATAAAGGTATTAGATGCTGAATTAAAAGCCTTTTCATTATCCATTACTACAAATTTAAGTACTCCATAGTAGACTATTTTTTCGTGTAACTGTTTTTTAATGTCTTCGGTGGATTTGGATTTTATAATTTTTGCCTGTTCTAGTTTGGAAAATTTATCTATTGCGGTCAATACTAATTTCTTTTCTGTTGAGAGGATGTCAATATGGATTATGTATCCAGGGTATTCAGGAATTGGGGTTTCTTTAATTTCTGGATTGACATCCCCCGTCTATCATATTTGCCTTCTTTACATACCCTGCATTGTTTGACTAATGTTGTTATTTTTTGTTTCATTTTGGGGAAATAATATTTTTCTGCAAGTTGGTTTTTGTTTTCTTCTGCATTTCTATGTGCTCTGTTATGTGTTTCTAATATTAATTGTGAGAGTTTATCAGATTTAAGCGTGCTACGGTCGTACTGACAATCAGCTGGGTTTGTTGACACGCAGTTAAGATTCAAATATCGTATTTCCGGGAAAGAGCCTTTAAAAGATATTATCAACTACCTTGGCAAAACAAGTCTGCCGCTGTACAAAGAAATTAAAAAAACAATACAATTTAAATTTAACAGTTGTTTTTTTTAATTTACTGATAATTATTTGCTAATTTAAAGTTCATAGTTGCACTTTTATTGTGTTTTTTCGTACACCCCAGATAGTATTAATGTTATTTTGTCCTCACATGTGAACACCTGCAATCGACTTTTGTAAGTTTTTTGAGTTTTTCCCTCCATTTCTTATAATGTTCAGTGAGAAGCGCACGCCAAAGATTAAATTTTTTAATCTTTTCGCTAGGGTTCACCCAAAGCTCATTTCCGCAGACTGGCAACGCTATGGAATTTTCTGGTATTTTTTTCGTCGATCAGGGGACCGACGTGAAAAAAAGGCCCGACGAAAAGTGAACGCCAGCTGTTTGCCTCTCGCTCTCTCTCATGACTGGCGTACGGTTTACGTCGAAGTGAAAACTAGGCTTTATATGGTATTTTCGGTTTGATCACACTTTTACAAATGTGACGCTCTATAGCAAATCAAATCAAGTTTAAACTTTGTGATAATATATTAAAAGTGAAGATGAGTAATAAACAAAAATATAGAGCTGAGTGGGAGACTATGCCGAAAAATCAAAAATGGCTGGGCAGGAGCGCAAATAAGATGGACGCGCACTGCAAAGCGTGCCAGACGGACATTTTGAGTAGGCTGGCGTCACTTAAGCAGCACGCAGCTACACAGAAACATAAAGATAATATGAAATACTTCTGTGGAAAATCAAAGGTGAGTTCTTTATATGATTTTAAATTGTATTTAAATAATAACTATTCTTTTTTCAGATTCAATCGTTTTTAATAGAGTCGGACAACACTCTAGCTGCCTCTATCAAAAAGGCAGAAATTATGTTCGCTGCAACGATTGCTGAACACAACATTTCAATGAGAGCAATGGACCATATAAGCGATGTGATCAAGCATGCGTTTCCCGATAGTGCCATTGCGCAAGGGCAGCTTCGCTTACGTACAATGTACTGGCACCTGTGATGAAGGAGCAACTGATCTCTAGCATGAAACGGTGCGTTTCTGCAGCGGGAAGGCCTGTGTTCTCCATAATCATTGATGAATCGACTAATGTTTCGTGTACAATGGTCTTGGCGTGTGCTGTTATGTATTTCGACAGTGCAGCGCAAACAAAATTCTTGTTCACCATTTTTGCAGCACTCAGCGATGGACTCAAACTTAATGGCTTTGACATCAGTAATATAATTGGATTTGCTGCAGACACAACTAATGTGAAGTATGGTGAGCGCAATAGCATTATGACGAAGATACGAGACGTCAACAAATCATGTTTCTTTGTAAAATGTGTTTGCCATTCGTCTGCTCTTGCTTCAAGCTATCCTTGCAAGCAACTGCCTCGAAACTTAGAGCAAACCATTAAAGAGCTACATATATCTACTTTTCAAAAGTTCTAAGCTTCGACGAAAATTTAAAGAGTTTCAAACTTTCTTAGATTCTCCTGCACATAATATACTTAACCACTACGAGATACGTTGGCTATCGTTTCATTCTTGTGTGGCACGCATACTAGAACAGTAGGATGCTCTCATTGCATTCTTCCAAGAAGAATATGAAATTGATAACAACTTATCAGCTGAGTATATTCTATCTAATTTAAAAAATCCAACTGTTAAACTTTATCTATTATTTTTGGATTATATACTTGCTTTAGTGAACAAATTCAATATTATATTCCAGTCTAGTCGATCTGTTGTACACTATTTCTATAAAACTATGTCCGAATTTTACAAAAGTATATTGGCTTGTTATATGCAGGATATGTATATAACAAATACAGATTTAAATGCCATAGAGCCAACAAACACATTTTATTTTTTACATATAAATAGCTTGGGCAAAGAACATAAATTGGCTTTTTTGAAACGTAGCCAGTTATTTTTAATCGAGTTATGCGTACAACTAAAAAAAGATTACCGTTACAAGATAACTTTCTGAAAATGTTAAGTTTTTTGGATCCAAATTATTATTACAATCAAAATTGTCACTCGTTGTTCAAGCTGTATGAACGCTTTCCCGATTTTGTCAATGATCCACAAATAATTGACAATGAGTATCGAACAATGAAAACTGACGACATTTTTAAAATGCTTTTGACTAAAAATCTTAATTGCGATACATTCTGGTGCGAATTGAGTCAGTTAAAAGATATAAATAATTGCTATAAATAAGCGAATATTTCGAAATTTGCTCAATCTATGTTAATTTTGCCCGTTTCTAATGCGTCGTGCGAACGCATATTCTCCCAAATTAATTTAATCAAAACTAAAAATCGAAACCGCTTTAAAAATGTAAATGTATCACATATATTACATGTAAAACAATCGTTGCACGAAAATGGGTGCAATAATTTTAAGCCCAATGAACAAATTTTAAGTAAAGATCTCAACAAATTTAATTTAAGCAGCTCTGACGAAGAAGGCTAGTAAATTTAATTAAATGTGATATTCCGATCTTAAAAGAAACTTTCAAGACTGGACAAAGAAGTTCCTTTATTATTATATTTTAAGAACATGGTACTCTATGATTGGGCAAAGAAGTTCCTTTATTATTATATTTTAAGAACATGTTACTCTATGATTGGACAAAGAAGTTCCTTTATTATTTTGTTTTAAGAACATCTTACTCGATGACTGGGCAAAGAAGTTCCTCTATTATTTTATTTTAAGAAAATGTTACAAAACAAGTTTTAAGCATTTAATTAATTTTAAGACTTCAAATATATATTGGAATTGAATACGAATGCATATTGTTTTAGTTTTATGTTGGACTGAAATTTTAATCTTGTAAAATGAAATAAAAACAAACATTTTTTGCAATGGGAAAAACCTTATTTTTTCTATATATAATAAGTCAATTATTATTTTTACATATTACATATAATGGTATTTATAGTGGTATTTTGTAAAATATGAAATAGTATTTTATAGTATATTTTTGAGACCAAATTGGTATTTCTCGTTTGGTCCGGCGCGGTCACGCTGATCTGAAACCAAAAATTGCAACAGGATTAGGAAGAGTATATGTATGGCTATATGATGAACTAGGGTTTTTAAATTCTGGCAAAAATTACCAAAATGGAGGACCTTTGAACATTTTTTTTTTTTATCGTTCAATCTGTCCGTTAACTGAGATTTGTAGGGAGGAGCTTTAAAAATGGTTATATTTAACTGATCTCTCATCATAAAGGTATTAGATGCTGAATTAAAAGCCTTTTCATTATCCATTACTACAAATTTGGGTACTCCATAGTTGACTCTTTTTTCGTGTAACTGTTTTTAATGTCTTCGGTGGATTTGGATTTTATAATTTTTGCCTGTGCTAGTTTGAAAATTTATCTATTGCGGTCAATACTAATTTCTTTTCTGTTGAGAGGATGTCAATATGGATTATGTGTCCAGGGTATGCAGGAATTGGGGTTTCTTTAATTTCTGGATTGACATCCCCCGTCTATCATATTTGCCTTCTTTACATACCCTGCATTATTTTTTGTTTCATTTTGGGGAAATAATATTTTTCTGCAAGTTGGTTTTTGTTTTCTTCTGCATTACTATGTGCTCTGTTATGTGTTTCTAATATTAATTCTTCATGCTTAGTTTCTTCTGTCAAATATTCTACTTTATTTTGTGTGAATCTGATTTTAATGTATTTCTCCCATTATCTCTTCTGATGTGAAAATTCCATTTAGGATTGACGGACTTAAATGTTTTTTTAATATATCAATAAGATCAATATTCTGAAAGTCTGGTCGATTTATAACGTGTCTATGAAAGGTGGGGAACGGAATAGTAAATTTGTAGTCGGGGGGATTTTCTTTGTAATTAAATATCTGATTCTTAAAGGCGTTTATTGGTACTTCGTCGCTGGGGATGAAGTTATGACCAGAGCTCTGCGCGCTGTGTTGTGTTGCTGTTAATGAGTTAATTTGGTTGCTTATGGGGATCCTAGACAAAGCATCGGCCACTATGTTTTCCTTTCGGGGTTTATAAAGTAATTCTTTATTATATTCGTCAAGATATGATTTCCATCTCTTGATCGCTATCCCTCCCTTCCAATTACAATCGTGTGTAAGTGGTTCGTGATCAGTATAGATTTTAACCTGGGTTGGATATTGTAATATTACGTCTTCTGAGATAAAGGTGCTCTTTAATTTATTAAAGACCTGAATGGCTTCATTATTGAAGTGAATAGATTTCTTTGATGAAGCTTTCTTTGAAATCCTCGCCTCTAAGTAATGTCGTGAGTGGTTTTGCTAGTGCACCGTAGCCTATAATAAATCGTCTGTAATACCCTAACAGTACAAGAAAAGATCTTAATTCCTTAACGTTTTGGGAATGGGGTAGTTAGCGATGGCCTGTACCTTTGTTGGATTAGTTTCTATTCGCTTGTCTGGAATTACAAAAATCCAAAAAATTCAACTTTACTTTTGAAAAATTCGCATTTATCCAATTGACATTTTATGTTAGCATTATTTAAGGTTTCAAATATTGTATCTAAACTTTTTTAATGAGATTGTGCGTCTGGACTGTAGACAATTATGTCATCGATATCAATATAACAGATTTTCCCTATGTGTTCCCTAAGAAGGCTGTCTTTTCTATATCGCTTTCTTTTAAAAGAATTTGATGGAACCCACTTTTGAGATCTAACACAGAAAACATTTTTGTTTCCCAGTTGTGCAAGAACTGCATTTATGTCTGGTATCGGGTATCTGCCTGCTATTGTAACACTATTTAATTTTCTGTAATTTATTACCATTCTATATTTCTTTACATTGGAGGCAACTAATTTTTTTGGTACAATCCACACTGGTGAATTGTAAGGCGATCTAGAGGGTTTCTAAAAGTTCTTTTATTTGTCGGTCAATTGAGAGCTATTGGATATTGATAAAATTTCGAGTAGACTGGTGTGTCAGTGTTTGTGCGTATCTCAGCTTTCATGTTTGTTGTGTAAGTCAATTTTTCGTTGGTTGGGCAAATAGATTCGGATATTTCTGAATAAGTTGGTTAAGATCTGATTTTTGTGTAAGATGATCTGTCCGAGGAATAATTAAATTTACAGCTTTGAATTTTTTTTCTTTAATATTGATTGTTTTCCCATTTTTTAAGTGCATAGATTTGGTATTAGTGTTAATTATTGCTCCTACATTTTTTAAACTGTCGTTTCCCAAAATGGTATCAAATGTTTTTAAAGTTGGTAATAAACAAAATTTAATTATTGTATTAGGGTCGTTGAATAAATTGGCTGTTTTGTTATGTGTAATTTTAATATTTCCGCCAACCGAAATGGCGTCAAACGGGGATTTATTTTCTATAGGATTTTTAACGATTTTTGGCAAGATGTAATTATTGTTTGAACCGGTATCAATTAATATTTTAAAAATGTCTCTCCTCAGTTTGCATTCAAAATATGGCAATGAGGAGTTTGTTAGTCTAAACAAGAGAGAACGCTATAGTCGGGTGCCCCGACTATCAGATACCCGTTACTTAGGTAAAGGGAGTGCGAGGGAGATGGAGATAGAATCTTTGATCACGCATAACTTTTTAATGAATGGTCCGATTTGAAAAATTTCGGACAGACGGACATGGCTATATCGACTCGGCTAGTGACCCTGATCAAGAATATACATACTTTATAGGGTCGGAAACGCTTCCTTCTAGCTGTTACATACTTTTGCACGAATACAATATACCCTTTTACTCTACGAGTAACGGGTATAAAAATGAAGGTAGGTATAATCATATTGGTATTCTTGGCTTGGTTTATGGATTCAGAATATTCTGTTAGGGATTCAGGATATTCAGATTGTGATTCGTCCTGTGATTTTATGGTTTCGTTATATTTGTCAAGGGATGGTGTTTCATCTTCCACTTCTGAAGAAGTGTGAGAGGCTGCTTGAATATTAAAATTTCTAGATTTTTTTACGGCTTCGTTTAAAGGCATTGGTAGTCTTTTACCAGCTTCAAAACGTATGGGTTTGTTCATATAATTAATATGTTTCGATTGCATGGTCCTGTCGATGTCCATGGGTTCTGGTCGTGGTTGTGGCTTTACAGCCAAAGGTCGAGCCGGAGAAAAGTTTCCTGAAGGTCGTACTGCAGTATACTGTGGGACTCGTGGAATTTGATTGTTATTGGAGAACTGGGGTCGTGATTGATTAAACATATTATTATTTTGTCTAGGTGGAACTAGAGGATTTTGATACTGGTTATTAATGGGGAATGACCACTGTGGCCTGCTTGGCTGTGGTCTGGTTGGTTGTGAATGTGGTATGTTTTGGGAAGGCACGTTTCTAAATCCGGATTGTTGCCCTCTATTAACTGCATGGTTTGCACGGAACGCTTGGTTTTCTAACTTTAGACAAAGATGTAAAGCTGAAGGAAGATCGGTTAGTTCCTTCATACCGAGAAGACGAGATAGATCTCCGCGAAGTCCGCGCACAAAAGTGTCTAAGGCTTTGTCCCTATACATTTTCGTCATGAGTTGTTCTGCTTCCATTCCTAATTCCATACATCCAACCCTATTAAGATTAAGCGAAAGGTGTTTGTAGACTGACTGATGAAATTCCTCTACCGACTGGTGAGCACCGTGACATCGAGTTGTTATTTGGTATTCAAGAGTGCCTAAATCCTGCTTATCTGCGTAGTGCAAAGTTAGACATTTAGAAATAACATTCCAGTTGATTGGAGTATTATAAGATTCTAACGCAGTGTCTGCGTTTCCCGTGATTTTATTACGTATGGTATGTAGAATCCCAAAATACTTAGATGTGCCTACAGTGTGTTCATATGTCTTAAGAACTCTATCCACACCCTTTTTCCAAGAACTGAATTCTGTTGGGTTGCCAGATTTTTACGATGCCTGGTACCCTATCCAAACCTTCGAGGTTAGCTCGATTTTCTTAGGAAATTTCCTGATTTGGAACCTGTGCAAAATCGAATCCTGTGTTTTGAGCTTGTTGTAATAGGATCGGTAATTGCTCAGCAATTATTTGTCTGACTGCTTCTTGTAACTCTAGTGCTGCCATATTGTCTTTGTGTTCCTGATGTAATTCCTGTCTATGAATTTGTCTTTGATATTGAACTATGTTAGCTTGATGTTGTTCTACCTAATTAA